TCATCGTTCCATCGTCTGCGGTACTCGCCGTCGCCAACGCGTAAAGGACCGTAAATCTTCCGCAAAATCTTTCTCTCAAACACCCCAAGAGCCGCCTCATCGGATGTTGTCATTGTCCATGCTTCTGCGCCATATACCAGCACGGGCATGATGAGTGACTTATAGAGCGTGGTTTTCGTACGTCGAGATAGGACTTTACTCCTGAATTGCCTACTCAGTCCAAAGTAGCACTTGTTGGCAAGAGTGATTCTGCGTTGGATTTCAATGCTGACATTATTATCGGTGTTAATGCTGGTTCCCAAGTAAACGAAATTCTCTACTTTCTCGAAATTGTAACTGTCAACAGTGACGTGGGTGCCAAGGCGTGAATGTGCTGACTGTTTATTTGTTGACAGGAGATACTTCGTCTTGTCCTCGTTTACCACCAGACCCATTCGCTTTGCTTCCCTATCCAACTTGGAAAAGGCAGAACAGACTTCGCGGTTTTTGTTACCGATGATGTCGATGTCATCGGCATAAGCCAGCAATTGCACGCTCTTGTAGTAAATTGTTCCTGAGCGGTTCAGTTCTGCAGATCTTATTATCTTCTCCAACATCAGATTAAAGAAGTCACATGAAAGGGAGTCGCCCTGTCTGAAACCCCGTTTTGTGGCGAACGGCTCGGAGAGGTCTTTCCCAATTCTGACGGAGCCGGTGGTATTGCTCAACGTCATTTTACACAGCCGTATAAGTTTTGAGGGGATGCCAAATTCAGACATAGCGGCGTATAGGCAACTCCTTTTAGTGCTGTCAAAGGCGGCTTTAAAGTCGACAAATAGGTGGTGAGTGTCGATCCTTTTCTCGCGGGTCTTTTCCAAGATTTGGCGTATTGTGAATACCTGGTCTATGGTGGATTTTCCAGGTCTAAAGCCACACTGATAAGGCCCAATCAGTTCATTGACGGTGGGCTTAAGTCTTTCACACAGTACGCTCGATAAGACCTTGTAACCTATGCCTAGAAGGCTGATCCCGCGGTAGTTGGCGCGAATGGTGGGGTCACCTTTCTTGTAGATTGGGCACAGCACACTTAAATTCCAGTCGTCGGGCATGCGTTCATCTGACCATATTCTGCACGCGGTACTTGAATAGCTCAGCTGGCAGGCTGTCAGCTCCAGCAGCTTTGTTGTTTTTCAGCCGCGTTATTGCTATACGTACCTCGTCATAGTCAGGCGGTGGAACGTCGACTCCGTCATCATCGACTGCGGGCTCGGGTTCTTCTTCTCCACAACTTTCCGTGCTGCTTCCATTTAGTAGGGCGGAAAAGTGTTCCCTCCATAATTTAAGTACGCTCATGTAAACATAAAAATTTAATGTGGTAAGAAGGCCATAGCTAATGTTGGAAAGGGTACAGTATGTTTATAGTTTTACATAGGTGAATACGAGTAAAGTTCCAAATAAGACAAATTTGCTTAAATGCTTCTTAGTATTCATAAATATATATTTTTTCTTTATTTTTTTTTTAATTGTCTTGGTTTTCTGCTGGTGCACAGTGAATACTTTTTAAATAAATTGTGTTTTGGTGATGCAGGTTTCCACATCAACACTAATTAAATCTAAATCGGTAACGGCTTTTTCTGCCGCATTATTTGTACATGCATCTGATTGCGTAAATACGGCTGAGACGCGCTTATTAGCTCCTTTGATAGTTTTTATGGATCGACGAGCATTTTTTAAATATAGCGTGGCTTTGATTGATAATTTGGCGTAACAAGAATTCTTCAATACGATATTTTTGTAATTTTGGCACTTCTGGTAAAGCTTTAGGACGTCATAGCCATCAAACACCAATTGTTGTGTGGCTGAGTTAACGTCATTCATTATCTCTACTGAAGTTTTAGCAGCAATAATTCCACACACATTTAGTTCCTCATGAAAGGTATCCACAACCAACTCTACTTCTTGATCTTTGGCTGCTACACAGTTGTCGTTTTCCTGACGACGATCCTCAATCTTGATCACAGCGGTATCGACTTGCTGAAGAGGCTCCACTACGATTACCTTATATTGAACTTGTAAAGCCTCTGCAGTTCTGAGCGCTTCGTCTTGTGCTTCCTTTATTATATTGTTAACGGTTCCCTCATAATTAATGATCGGCAATGGAACATCAGCTGCACTTGCCTAAAAACAAATATAGTTAGCTACATTCTTTCATCTCTTCAACTACATCAATTTATTAAACATTACTATAGCTACAAGAAACAAAACAGAAGCTGTTATGATGAGCCCCTTCATTTTCTATGTTTGGTAAGACTTAAAGAACTGATTGGATTCATTATTGTCGTGGCTCCTTTTTATACAAAAAACAATATACCGAACGTCGTATATTCTTTAGATTAGGAAATGCATACATATGTGTAATTAAACCGCCGCAATAAATCATAAAGTCGATAATAAATTATTTGTTACTTTTCGCTTACCCTTTATTGAAAGTAATGAGCTATAATTCAAAATTTTTTTCATTTTTGATATTAAAATGTTTACATTTAATAACCACAAGTATTGTTATTTTAGCAGATTGTTCTTTGTTGGTATAGTAAAAATATAGAACCAACTACCAATCCCAATTAAATATAATACACCTTTCTTAGTTCGTCTTTGCTTTTGCTTCTCCCGTATCTTGCAAAAATAATTATTTCTTCTAAAATATTGTTTGGCGTTGTTCATTGTATCTTTACCAATATATGATATCATTGATATTGCTGTTATTATGTACTATTTTCTTTTTCAATCTTATTCTTCTCTTTTAAAATTACAACCATTTGTCGGTTGTATTTTTATAAGCTTAACTATGTCTATGTCCATACATCTTTCCTCTCTCGAAATCCCTCAATGCCTTCCGATCTTTGTTTGACATCGTTTATGTTGGTGCGCTCTATGAAAGGATGGGCATGATGTGAGGCTTTCAGAGCGTGATATTTGTTCGTCAAGAGAGGGCCCTGCTTTTCAATTGCCTACTGAGCTCAACCGTTTAAATTTAATTACAGCTAAAGCTAATTTGTAATTTACCTGGGTAATTTACCAGCAAAAAATCCGGAAACGTATCCGAAAATGGAAACAATTTCGTATAAAAACCTGATGTTTCATCCGTTTTCCGATTCCGTTTTCGGACGTTTTTTAGATCAATTCTCCCACTAAAGTGTTCAGCCGAAACGTATGTGCAGAAAACTATTCCTGAAATTTATCTGATTCAATTTTTCGTTGAAAACGATTTCATTATGAACTTCACAGAAACTTTTTCATAGTTACTGGAAGCCAAAAAAAAAAACAATTTAAGATTCAGCAATTATTTCAATTTAAATAAATAATTTCAATGTGTTGCTTCTGACGGAATTCGAACCTGGGACCTCCTGAAAGCTAACAAATAGTAGCACACTTCTCTACACACGCAGCTACTGGTGAATACGTATAGTACAGGTTTTCAAATGCTCAGGTTGAACAAATATTTTAAAATTATTGTTTTCAAATAAGATGATGACATTTTTCGGATACGAAAAATTAACAAATATGGAAATCGTTGTCTGAACGTTTCCGAATACGAAAAATGTACGACAACTGCACTTTCGGCAAAAAGTACGTTTCTCTGCTGGCTGGGTAGTTTTTGAGTCGCACACAGACCATTTCAAAAAAGGTTATTTGTAGCTTAATGAGTTATTCCAAAGGGTTTGTGGTAAATTTAAAATGTATAAAACTGTATGTACCTTATTTTATCATAGTCCATAATGCCACGTGGCACAGTGGTCTGAATAGGGAATTTAGCGAGACAATATATAGGGCCACTGATTACAAATCTTCAGTCAGGCTTCAAAAATCCAATATGGCGGAAAAATTTGTTTAAATTTATTGAATTCGTTCGAAACTTGTTACTCGGGTTGCTAATTATGAATCCTAAGAAATTATAGTTGGTCCTTGTACCGAATCGAAGACTTTCATATTTAGTATTTCCCGCTAGATTCTCCAATCAGACCACTGTGCGCGGCAGTACATTTTTTCTGTAGCTCTTGTTGTTTACGAGATAGGGGCAAAAAATGAATATTTCATGAAAAAAATTTGTATAGTGACTCGTACTACCTCGCTGGTGGGAGTTAGGGTCACGCCGCAATGGACAGTTTTGTAGAGCACTCAACTCTGGAGAAAGCCTATCATTGACCAAGATTATAACATAAAATGCCCTTGAGCTGCAGAATATTGAAGAAGGAAACATTTACGTTGACGTGTATGTATTTTAAATGGCAGCCTTGGTCGAGCACTTAATATTAATGTTAAGGGCTAAAATTTTCAGGCAATTTTTTTTAGGGAAAATTTCGAGGTGGGAGTGAAAAAAAAAGTTAGTCGCAAAAAACCTTTCAGCTGATTAAGTGCATTTTTTGGCACTTGGCACAAAATTAAAAAACTCATTTATCATCCCAGCTTTGGGATGCTTCGTCAAAACGTTTTTTTTTTGTCTTTAAATCTGGGTTTCCTTTCGGGATCTAAGGAAAAACCATGCAAATTTGTGCTATTTTCATTCATTAATAATCCAAAAGCAGCAGTGAAAATAAATCTATCTAGATAATCTATTAAAAATTGGTCGTAACGAAGATTATAATAATAATAATAACATTGGCGCTTACACATACATACATACATATGTTAGCGTTCGGCCGATCTTCTCCTCCGATTTGTGGCGTAGGGGATGCACCTACAGATTTACGCCGACTCTGAACGGCGATTGAATTTTTATGAGAAGCTGTTTTTCTTATGATGTTGGGTTGAACCGGTCTACACCACAGCGAACATTCGCTTTATAAAAAAGTGGTTCGGTTAATGGTTCAGTTAATTAGTATAAAAAAAAAGGTTAATCCGGTTCAAAACCCGTAGACGCCCTGGTATGTACATCATATTTGAGATCAAGATTTGTTTGCTTTCTCCTAGAGAAACTTCAATTACATAAATATTATTCAAAGCGCACTACATTGGAAAACTATTCCCACTGTGCGAAGCAAGCACAAATATTTTAAGAATTTAATAACCACTTTAGATTATCCAATCCGCGCAATTTATGATCCCACTTGTTACTAAATATTCTGGACAGAAATTGTGCATTAATCTAAATTTATATTTACTTATCAGACGATTGATTCTTTTATAACCTATTTAAGTACAATACATAACTACATACAACATAATAAGTACACAAGTAATTGGTAAAGAATTCGACCCTTCAGTTCGTAAAAGCACTGAAAATGCTAATTGGACATTTTACACGAGTTATTCAGATTCTTGCAAAACGACTATTAGGCTACTCATAAACTGTTAAAAAGCGCAATAAACTTTAGAGAAACTACGAATAACCTTGATAAACTTGTTAGCCATTCTACCATTCATTCTGAGCACAAGTAGGCACCACAATTACCAAACTGCGAAAATAACAGATTTTAGACAGATTTTCAAGTATTTTTCTTTTACGCAAAGGTAAACATATACATACATAAATACTTGTAGACGATTGCATTGAACTTAATAGCTTTGTTACAATTACTTTACTAAATTCATTCTATTTATGAAAATCCATGCACACATACATATGTATGTATGTATATACATATATGAATATAAAAATAACATGCATATAAATTTAAGTAATGTAGTAGGCATGTATGGACGTATGTGTTAAGTAAATTAATAAAGGCAAAATAGTAGGTACTAAATGCGTAAGATTTTAGGAACGTTATGTATGTATATGTATGCACATATGGACGCACACTAAGCCGAATCACCACTATATATGACAAAAAAAAACCGTTGTGCGTGTGGCAATTTTATTTTAACACTTATAATAGGTTTGTTCCACACAAGCCCGCGGGATCTCGCTGTGCCGAAAACAGCCCGGAAAGCTTTCCTTACGCTAGAAAAAGGGCTAATAGAGAGCGAATACCTTCCACTTTTGGATCGTAAATGTCTTCTTCTTCTTGTCCGAAACAGCCCGGACTTTTTCCGGGCACAAAAGCTTGAACTTTTGCTGATTTTATTTTTTATTGCACAAAGTTTGATATATTTATATTTAGATGATTTTTGCTAAAGAATAAGCTGCTCTTAAAAAAAACTAAAATTATAATTTCGACACGGGGTGTATAACGATGGTATACTACTTTACATCTGATGGTTTGCGCACTACTGTAAATTTGTATAGCTTATGTAAATGGTTTTTATTAATTTTCGATTTTAATCGAAACGACCGATTAATCGGTTAATTTCTTACGATTAATTGCAATTCTTAATCGAATGCTTTTGATTAATCAATTAACCGATTAATCGATTATTAAATTTATTTTGCCATCATTACTCAGAGCGCAAAAAATTTTTATGAAAGCACGAAAAAAACGCATTCCCAAAGTTGCCCTTGTTTAAACTGCAGCGAGTAGCAGCTGGAATAGAATTCCATAAACTCGTGGCGTTGACAAAAAGTAGTCGGGCAGATTTTAGAAAGGTTAGCTATTATACAGATAGCTAAGTAGCTTATCCGACATTAAACGGAATAGAAAAATACATTTCATTGCTTTCAAGTGATCAGATATCTCAAAGCCCAATACGCCAAACCAAATACATAACGTGTTACGTGATTGAAATCGGAGGGGAAGCTCGGCCAAACACTAGCATATTGTGTAAGCGCCAATCTGTTATTATTATTATAAATCAAATAGGTTTTTAAGACCGATACCGTTTAGGGGTCCTGAGCGATACCTCTTCCTCGACACAGAGATTTTAAAAATCTAACGTCAAATAAGAAACTTACAGCAAACAACGCGATTTTACAGTTTTTAGCGGGTCACTTAAAAAGTTTGTTCTTTCGACCGAACTGCAAAGGCTCAGTTAGTCTAGGCTTAGTTTACATATTGGCCAACGCAATATATTTTTGTTCACTAATTTTTTGATGTGGCTTAGGCGGCAATGTGGCAATCGGCCGAAAAGGAAAATACAACAAAAAAAGGCTTTCGCTTCTGGCTGAGTTGACGATTGCTTCCGCAAGTTAAGTCAAGTCTCGACTAACTGAGCCTTAAGTAAGTTAGTACTCCAATTATGCGAAATTGCTTCCTCCGTTGTTAGTTTAGTATGAGGAAAGGAGGATGAAGTATGAAGTTTAAGCTGAAAATGAAAACTTATACCCTATTTACGCGTTAGCATCAGTGAATATAGCAGGTCATGAAAAAAATAGGTGACGTCCAATAATGTCAACGGAATTAATGTCAATTGAACATAAATTCACTTTTGTAAAAGTGTTCTTACACGATATGTATGTATTTGCATGTGTGCATGTAACCATTTACACGATCCCGAAAATAAAGATCGCGCCATTCGCGGACCGCTAACCCTCTCTTCGTCGATTTGACAGCATCCACCCAATCGCTGACGTCATAATATACTTTTGTTTACATTCACTGTTGCCAACTTCATGCTTTTCGCACCAAATTTAGTGGGTATTCAAAACGCAAACATTTTTAAGTTTTGTGCTTGGTGCGTTTTTGGTGCTTTTGTTTTTAGTTTGAAGACTTCAAATTAGAAAATCGTAAAAAAATGGAAGCAAAATTTATAGCAATCGTAAGTTTGCTAAGCAATTTTACAAAAATTTAAGCAAAATCATGGCACAGTGACAATCATAAGCGACAACGAAATATGTCCAGCACCTTCAATCATGCCAGAAGAAATCGACCGTTGTGCAAGAAACATTGATTTTTATTAATTTGAATCGGCATCCTTACAATAAACTTATGTATTCATATAAAGTCCATAAAATACACCAATAAAAATTTGGTGCTTTTTCAAATTCAAAACTTGACAATACTGCCTTTTGTTGATGCTTCTTCTTTTTCTTGTCGAGTTCGTCTTGCTCTCTCATTCTGGTATATTTTGACGTCACGGCCAGTTGCTCTCAGCTCGATTGGCGCAATCTTGTATCCTATCATTCTTGAACCATTTACATACATATGGAAATGGACATACATATCGTGTAAAGACAAATTAGATTTGCTTCTGTACAAAGTAGATGCACCTATGTAAATACGAAATAGAAATGTTTCTATGTTCAGTTGGTATACAGACAGAATCATCTGTTTTGGTTTATTTGCTTTTCAAAGAACGTAATTTTAAATAGTTAAATAAAGACTGTCAATTTGACAGGTATATGCAATTATATACAAAGGTATCGAAAAAGTCACATTAACAGATGCAAATAGATATCGTGAAAGAAGACTTTAAGGGAAT